AGATAAGGATAAGATAAGATAAGGGATAAGGGATAAGGAACGGTGTAGCTGGCGGCGAGTTGGTGGGCAGCGCTGATGTGGTAAGATAAGTGTGGGCCCACCCTGATGAGCTGTCATGTGGGCCCTACCCTATTGCTGCTGTCGGGTGGTGTGCGCGCCTTGCAGTGCTGCTGCCGTGAGGTGCGTGCTGCGTTTGGATGGCGGTGCGTGTTGCGCGTTGTCGGGCTGTGTGTGCTGCCGGGCGGTGCGTGTTGCACGCTGCCAGGCGGTGCGTGCGGTGCGCTAACAAGTTCTACTTTTTAGTCACAACTTGAATTTGATATCCCTTGATTTTGGCTCCTTATAGTTGATTGAAGAGGTGCTTGATGCAGCGATGGGTGGAACATCGAAGACTTCCAACCAATAACCACTCCATGTGGGATATACTCCTTGGTCGGTGATAGAATTAATCTTGTATTCCTTTTCTTTGTTAGCCTTATTCAGCATCTTTATTGGTTGAGACTAAGATATGCAACCTTCCGGTCCAACGGGAAAATCTACACTTGTTATGCCTGCCTATCCTCTACTCACAAATTCTCTAACAATGGAGATTTACCCTTGATAGTTTGGAATTTTCCCTCCAGAGATCATTTTTGAAAGATGATAATCTAATGATCATTATATGCAAAAACTCCAGTGATCATTAAGAATGAGTTATACCTGATATTTATGTTCACAAATACAGATATCAAAGTGATAGTTCACACCCAAGCTCAGATCATCCCAAGAATATCTGCAACAAATTGAAGATGGTGCAGTTATGCGTTTACAGTCACAATGCAATTTCTAGAAATTCCAACAAGAAAGGTGACACTTTTGTTATGAGTTGGAGTGGATTTTCCACTCAAATTTCTTACAAAATCACTCTCTAATGGTTTTTGTCTAGGTTTGATTTAATGGGTTACAAAACCCTACTTTATTCTCTCACGATATGTAGGCCAAATTTAGTAATGATGGGGAGAACATGCATGGTCTGATCATCATGTTTTGAACCCTATTTATAGATAAGGGAGAATTACAAGATTCCCCTCCTTAAACGATCATTAATTTCTGAAAATCACTTTAATATTGGGATATCTAGGCTTGTATGGCATGTAACCCACAACTAATGAGAGAACCAACATTAAGTCACATGTTCTCAATACTTGAGCTAGTGGGTTTGCCACTTAACATTAATCAACCTAAGTGGCTAAACACTTAACAATTGTGACCTTACCATTTTAAAAGCCCAAGTCCCATCGGTTTAGCCCATTATGTAATAATCAAGTTAATACAACTTAATCTATTACTTGTAAGTAATCTTTTTACTGACAATACTTAACTCCACATTGTTTTTTTGGATGGGGAAAGGCTTTTTCCCTTTGTCTCTATGACATAGTGCCCAACTTCCAATACTAGTGGATCTTTTATAGAGGATTTAGATAATCTTATTGTCAATATATTTAGGTATCCAAAGAAGGAGTTGCACAAAGTATTTTCCATATCTTAACAGAGTAGCGAATCCTATCACATTGATTATCAGTTGAACCATCTACGAATACCCAATATACCCAAATATTTGACTTTAGAAGGATCTCATTGATTGGCATGTCAAAGGTAGACAAATTTGATACTCAACTTGATACCAATATCAAGTCTAGAGATTAAAAGTAATACCCAATATTCTACCTGTCACATAGTCAAGAAACACACTAGGTTTGGTGTAGTTCAATGATTCTTGTAAACACTCATGCTCACACCTTAGGTCATAACCCAAGTAATTGACTTTTTGGTCCACTACCTTGGGCAACGTGAGAATGACAATGTTATTAGGATAGACTCCCCAAGTTTATCCATTGGTTGTGGACATTTAAGTCCATATTGCAATAACTATATAGTCTCATACATAATACTAATATGAACTAAGAGGTGATTTAGCAGAACAAATAGAGAAGGAAACAGGGTAGGTTTGGTGAAGGTTTTGTAAATTCTAGACCCTACTCGTCTCCCTAAACCTCTCAACCCGTACCCACCCCAAAACCCGTATTAGATTGTATTTTGAGAATCCAAACCCTCCTTGCACATGAAAGAGCAAAACTTTCCCTACACATGAAAGTGCAAAACCCTCCCCGCATTTAAGGGTAGGGGCAGGTTGGGTTTAAAACCCACATCTAATTTCCTATTATTTCTTGTCATATATAAGCAATAAATAAGTAAAATAACACAAATAAACATCAATATTTCTAATTATTTAATTAAGAAATACAGAAAATACATAAACTATCAATTATTTTTCACATAAAAGCCAAAATATTATTACATTCAACACCTAGTACATAAAGTTTATATGCTTTCCAATAATATACAAGTTGGGGAGGGTCGGGTTTAGCATAATACTGCATCGTACCGATACCCGCATGGGTTGTAGAATCGTAACACCCATACCCGCCCCAAAACCCGTCATTTAAGCAAAAATCCCCGCCCTGTCAGGGAGGGTAGGGGTGGATACCCACTGGGTAGGGTAGAAATTTCCATCCCTAAGAACAAACTCATGGCACATGAAATAAATTTTTTCTATTTATAACAAAGATATGTATAGTACATCAATTAGAGTTGAGGGCATACACACTGTCTAATAGCTCCCACTTGCACTCAGGTCCAATCTAGTATAAGCCATATTCCCATGTTGTTCATGTGTTGCTCAAACACCTTCTACATTAGTGGCTTTATCAATGGGTTTGTCACATTTTTCACTAAAATTACCTTTTGAATCTCTATATTTCTATGTGATATGATCTTTCAGATTATGTGATACTTATGTTTTATGTGCTTTGACTTTGAGTGTGTTTTAGACTCCTTAGCTTGAGCAATAACTCTTGTGTTGTCACATAGCAAGGGGATGGGAAATTCTATGATGGTTACAACTCCAAGCTCTTGGATGAATTTCTTCATTCAAATAGCTTCCTTAGAAGCTTCATTCATGGCAATGTATTCGGCCTTTGTTGTGGAATCCTCCCTTGCGTACTACTCTTCTAACTAATATTTCCTGACCCTAGCAGAAAGATGAATGTAAATGAAGACTTTCTATTATCTAGGTTTGACTAGAAGCCAACATCGATATACCCAACTAATTGCAATTAACTTCCTTCAAAGATAAGATAATAGTCCTTTGTTCTTCGGAGGTATTTTAATATATTCTTTACAATAATCTAGTGCCCGGGTTTTGGGTTCAATTGATATCTACTCACTACACTTACTGCTTGAGCTATGTAAGGTTGGGTACACAACATTGCATGCATAAGTGTATATGTATAATAAATGTATATAAATATAAAATATTAAATTCATTAATATAAATTTTATATATAATTATACATAATATCTATATGTATACATAATTATACTACATATATACATAAAATAGTATTTTTTTATTAGACTTGGATTTTAGTTGCATCGAATGGGGTTAAATCCACATCCGATCTAATTATTAATTGGATTCAAGTTATAACATCCAAATTTAGGATAATTAGATTTGGAGTAGAATTGGGTATTGGACTTTCAAAGTCCATTGATAGTCCTAGTAGGCAGGGCCCAAGCTAAGCAACACTTAAGCTCGACCTGGAAGTTATATACATATATATTTAGATAACAAATTTTACGTTGTATAGATAGAAATTTTTATATGTTTTTTATACTAGATTAAAATTAAAAAAAAAAATTAGTTTGTAAAAAAATCATAGTTTTATAATTAAAATGTGGTCCAAACAAATATTATTATGCTTGGGGTGTGGGTCGGGCCAGGCAAGGCAACCCTAAAAGCTATTAATGCACTATCAAAATCTGGCCCGAGATCTTTTATTTTATTTTATTTGGTTCATTAGGTTGTACAATGGGGTAGGCCATCCCACATAGATCCTTCAACTTGAATATTAATAATTTTTATCTAAAAATAGTTAAAAACCCAAAAATAATGCATGCATGGGTTGGGCTGAGGATCAATCAAAGCCCAATGCAGAGTCTTGAACCTCGACCTCGCGCTTAGATTAATTTAATTATGACTATCACCTAATTTTATATATTTACTAATATTTAAATAATAATAACAAAAATTATAAGGTATCATTTAATCATTAATAAAATAAAACAAATAAAATAGAACACTAACAAATAATATGAAAGAAATAACTATTTTATTAAGTAATTAACACTGCCTTATTATTTTTATTAAAAATTATTAATATAATTAATCCAAATTACTAAATTATTTTAATAAGAGAATATTAAAGTGAAGATTAATTATTTCAAACAACATTGCATTCCTACAAATCCTGGGTCCCACTGGTGTTTAAATATTTGCATGCTGAGCCTAAAGACAAAACCAACGCCGAAGCCTGGAATTTCCGGCCGGACCGAGCTGAAACGATGACCTTTTCTCTCCTTCAATCGTTGGGCTGAAAAACTCAAAACAGATGTACCATTAATTTCAGGCGTCTTACGTGAAATAACGAACCCAACTACCAACTTAAGAATAGCAAACTAGTTGTCCATCTCTATCTCCTTGCAATCTCTCCTTCGACTATTTCTCCTGAACTCGGTCAGAATCTCTTCCATGTTTTCCTTCACCATCGGAATTTCAATAACGTGTCCATGCATTCATCCAAATCAGACTTCAGAATCTCTTCAATGTTTTCCTACAGCATCGGAATTTCAATAACGTGTCCATTCATTCATCCAAATTAGACTGTAATCTACCTGGTGTTGTATCGCAGAAAGCGAACCCCAAGCTCCGTTATAAGCTGATTTAAATCGTTATGGATTAGGTCTATCCACACGATTTGTCCTATCTCAGTTTCGAAGATAAAGATAAGAACTCCGAAAACATTCATTCAAATTCACATTCGAAATTTTGCTCAGTTCGGAGTTCTTCCATCCTTTGTGATTTTCTTTGTCTTGTTTGGGATCTTAATTTCAAAGAGAAGATGGCGTTCAGTGGGACGCTGCAGAAATGCAAGGCTTGTGATAAGACTGTTTATGTGGTGGATTTGTTGTCTGCTGATGGAGTTGCCTATCACAAATCCTGCTTCAAGTGCAGTCACTGCAAAGGAACTCTTGTGGTATGCCTCATTGATTCTTAGCTTCATTTTACATTTGATGAAGAAAATATGTAAAGCTCATAGACCAGTTCGATATTGAGTTTGATGCAGAGGACTAACATTTGATGGGGCAAACCCCGCAGAAAAAAAATAAAAAAACAGAGAAACTGGAAGGATTTTCTGTTCTTTCGATTAGGTTTGGAGGTCTTGTATTAATTTCTCTTTATTTGAAAATTGTTTCTGGGTAACCATCGACTCTGAAATTAATTACTAGATATGAACACATCTAAAATATATAGGACCTTGGATTGAAATGGATTAATGCTTTCATTATTCTTCTCTTTTTTTTGTTTGGGATGTTTTGAAATGCTCAGAAACCAAATGAAATGATTCCACTCCCATACGGTTTCCAAATGCAACCTAATTAATATTTTTCATGCAGATGAGCAATTACTCTTCCCTGGATGGGGTCCTCTACTGCAAGCCTCACTTTGAACAACTCTTCAAGGAGAGTGGAAATTTCAGTAAAAATTTCCAAACAGGTCACATTTCTCTCTCTCTCTCTCTCTCTCTCTCTCTCTCTCTCTCTCAATATTCATTTTTTGTTGAGCTAATGACGTGTGATTTTGGATCTCCATCAGGAAAGTCTGAGAAGCCAAGTGACGGGGTACTACTTAGTTCTTTGTTTGTTTGTTGCATGATCCATTGAAAATAAATGAAATATTTCGTTGGTTGTTGATAAATATTTTTCACTGAAGATTTCTGATGTTATTAATTTTATTAACTCTGTATTACAGTCCAAGGCCCCTAGCAAATTATCCTCAATGTTCTGTGGGACTCAAGACAAATGTGCCACTTGCCATAAAACTGCCTATCCACTAGAGAAGGTATACAATATCAAAAGCCTTGTTAGCATTCTCGATTCTGTTTCTCAGAGATTGGAGGGTCTTTGGCCTCTTTGGATGGGAGAATGGAAATCCTGATAGAATGGCATTCCTCCATTTTGAGGGAATGGCCATTCCTTCTCCTTTCTTTGGAAATGAAATCCCATTCCGGCTGATTTCAATTCTCATTTTAATTCGTGTCTGAACCAAACAAATTATAGGTAATTTAAAAGGAAATATTAATGATTAAGTAAAAATTATGACAGGTGACCGTGGAGGGTGAATCTTATCATAAGTCATGCTTTAAGTGCTCTCATGGAGGTTGCTCTCTTACACCTTCAAACTATGCTGCATTGGATGGAATTTTGTACTGCAAGCACCATTTTGCTCAGTTGTTCAAGGAGAAGGGAAGCTACAATCATGTCATCACGGCAGTTAAGAAAAATTCTGCTCAAACAGATGGAGAAGGAAAAGCTGAAGGAGAGGGAGAAGCAGAAGCAGAAGCAGAAGAATCATAGGAGCAGCCATCAAGACGTGCCATACTTTTTGGTTGTTTTTCCATCTTTGGAGATGGAGATGGTTCTCTGGAGACAGACTAGGCTCTCTGAATTTGGGATCTCCAATGCTCCCATATTTTTCTTCTATTATGAATGAATTTTTGTTTAATTGGTTTTTCAAGCTTATATTTTGGATTTGTAAGCGGATATAAGATGTTCTATATGTTATTCATATGAAACTAATGCATGGTAAAAGAAAAATAAATTTTTATGTAATTTTTCTTTCAAGTATCTTGACAATGTACACATTCAAATTAAGATCAAATAATAATTTAATTTCCACAGTTTTTTCTTATTAATTTTACCTAAAAGATGTGGTCCATCTTGAAACGTGCTTTCATCATCCACGTAGACCAAGCCTTATTCCCACTAATTTCTTTACCTGCCCTGATCTTGAAGGATGCAAGAACATTTGCCTATTTATTTAACACTAACTGGACGTTGTTGTGGTGGATCACTTATGTTGTCTTAACGTATTGAATAGTAAGTTTTGTGCTATATTGAGTAATAGTTTTTTTCTTTAATTAGAAATTTTATTTTGTTTAGATCAAGAAAGCAGACGTTTTGTAGTTTTATATTTTTCTAGCTGCTTAGTATCGTGGGCGTACTATTTTTATCTTGAAAAACAAGAAAGTGATGTTTATATGATATTGTTTGACAGTTATGTACCATTAAACATCATTAGGCATCACATAAGCTCAATAATAAATAAACAACCAAGTGTTAGGAGAAACATTAAAAATGGTGTTTTCCCTAACAGTTGGTTTTCGTACAAATCAAGAAAACATTTATTTAATAATTAAGTTTTAATTTTTCTGGTATTTTAAAAAATTTAAAGTAGAACCGGATTAAATTCAAATCCTATCTGAGTCCATTAGAATTTGGATTCAAATCTAAGTCTTTAAATCTGTTTGGATTTCATATCAGATTCGGGTGCAGGTTTTCAGTAGTTAGATCGGACACAGATTTTACTGCATCCGATCCAAGTCTGAACCGATTACAACCCTACCTAAGTACCCATCACATACATGAGATGACAGAAGAAAAAAAAGTACATCTCCCCTCCCCATCTCTTTGATCATACTTGAGAAAAAAATAGTAAAATACATACCCATCACATACAGGAGCGCTGACAAAAAAAAAAAAAAAGAAAAAAAGGTAAATTGGTGAAACCCTGAACTTTCTAAAACAATTTCAAGTAGAGTCCCTCGAGTAAAGGCATGAAAACGTCCAAAATACCTTATAGTTATTATTGAAGCTGGTTTTTATGGAAAAATAAAAATAATACAAACTTTATGAACAATAAAAACAAAAAACAATACGAATTTTGTGAACAACAAAAACAAAGAGAAATTAAAGTTGCAACTTTACATTTGAGTGGTTGATATAAAGGAAAAATTTGAAAACCAAATAAATTTCAGAAAAAAGAGATTGGAAGGGTTTGGGGTAGTGATATATATGAAGAGAAAATTTGGAAAATAAACATTTTTGTTAGAAGTAAAAGCATGGGTATTTTAGACATTTTCATGCATTTTTTTAGAAGATTCTACTAGAGGGGGTCTACTTGCAACTAGACCTGTTCATGGGCCGGGTCAGGCCGGGCTTTGACTCTTTATTAACAGAAAAATGTTAGGCCCGAGGCCGAGTCCGGCTCGACCAACGGACCTACAACTTGGGCCCGAGCCCGAGCCCGAAGCCTGACCTAATAAAAGAAATTCGAAATTTTCCCTATTCAAATGAACATTTTCTATTTTAATTTAGATGTTTTTTCCCCTATTTAAATGAACAATGGGCCTACAAGTGAATCAATAATATTCTCAAATCAAAAAAATTATTCAAATAGACATCACATAGGATTTTTACTTAGGTTTAACTATAGGTCGTGCCGGGTTTACTTAGGTTTAACTATAGGTCAGGCCGGGCTGTGCTATTTTGGCAAAGCCCGAGCCTGGCTCGAATTTTATGCAGGCCGGGCTTTTTGGCCTGAGGTTAAGCCCGCGGGCCAAAAAGCCTATTCAAGCTCGTCTGAGGGTCGGGCCGGGCCAGGCTGGCCCGTCGGGCCACCCGGCCCATGAACAGATCTACTTGCAACTATGTAGGTGATTGCAATTGTCAAATTTAAGGGGAGCTTTCAACAACAACCAGAAACTTTATGGGAGGTTTCAGCAATTTACCTAAGAAAAAAGTACATCTCCCCCTCCCCTCTCTCTTTGATTAATTTTCTCTCAGTTTTGCTGTGTGAACTGAGTACAACTTATGCATGATTCTTAGTAGATGAGAAGCCGGGGGCAACATTGAGAGAAGAGTAGGGTAAAAAGGGAATTAGAATAAAAAAATAGAAAAGGGCAGCTGAAAACGGGTAGGAAGAAGTGTCCATACAAGAAGAGAGAGGAAAGAAACTTGGGAAACAACACCACTGGAGAAAAGAGATAAAAAATAGAAAAATAGAAAGGGCAGATAAAAGGGTAGGAAGAAGCGTTCGAACAAGAAGAGAGGAGAAAAATGTTGGGAAACAAAGACACTCGAGAGAAATGAGATAAAAAATAAACGGTAAATTCTTAAACTATTCCTATGGTTTAGTTAATTAATTAAGTGTATCTTTACTGTTTGAAAATTGACAAATGCTACCCTTATTGTATTTGACAATTATAGTGTTAGATATTCTCTTGCAAGAGATGGCACTGTAGCATTATACAGAGCAACATTTGGAGGAAAAAGGGGTTCGACAGCTGAGAAACCCCCTAATTTTTCTTCCAGATTTTGTCTTGGTCGGTCTTCGGCAGTTGCGGCTGGGAAGAAGAAAGCAGCAGTGGAATCAGAGAGTGATTTCAATATTGTGAAAACTAGAGAGAGGTAGAAGACGGTATCTGAACATGTATTCACTCTTTTTCTTTGATTTATTTTGAAATTTTGAAGAAAAATAAAAGGTAAAATAATCTTTTTTGTCTCGTTGTTAACGGATATTAAGGGATGTTAATAGTAAGGGAAATTAGTCAATTGTTAGAGAGGGATAATTTAACGCATAAAGTATCGTTTTTGGACCTTTTGAATTTTTATAGTTTTGGGGTGAGAATCAGAAACCTGCATTACACCTATCCGTACTTTTTTGCAAAAAGTGAGGGATCGTCTTAAAAGTGGATTGTGGGTTTAATCAATCAAATCACGAGACAGGATAACAAACTAAAGTCCTTAATCTGACAGTAATATTTATACTTTAAAGCGAAAGAGACAAGCGATGGAAAGTGGTTGCAAATAATAATATTTAATTTTCCATAATTTAGTTGGATAAAATTATAACTAAATTTTTTATGAAAAGAATCAATTATTGCCATATGCAGTTTGCGCATACCACGAACAAGGAAAACCAATAAAACAATTGTTAAACAATGAGGAGATATATAGCCCGGGTTAATGTGAATTTAATTATTAAAGTACTTTTAGCTCTCAAACCCCAACTAATTGATTTGTTGGTGTCAGTGGGTTAATGAAATTATTAGTAGGTTTGGACAAAAGTAGGGCTCCAAAATTTTTAGTTGCATGAAAATTTTCTTCTATGCATGGCAAATCATTTATATACAAACAAATGAAATGTTGTACGGACGGCTTCCCTGGAGTCGCTAAATGAAATTTACGCGCACGTGTGGATAATGACCATTAGATAATACGTGAATGACGTGACCCGCGCGCGGGTGGACAAAGCCCATTGGACAAAACCCGACCCATTGGACTATGGTCGTTGGGTAATACCCGATTGACAGGGCCCACGCCTATGTGAACAAAGCCCACTGGACAAAACCCGACCCATTGGAGAGGGGATCGTTTGACAGCCTGGCCCAAGCGAGTGGTCGGCTTCCGGTTTAGCCAACCAGTCTGCCGTGCCGTCCTACTTTGTAGCCAGTCCAATTATGACCCATCATGCAAGATCGGGTAGCCTTGTAGTGGTTGTGGACCCGACCGGCCAAGATCGACTTGGCTCATGAACCAGTTTGCTATCGTGGGTTGACCTAGTCCGTCTGGTGTGATGCTCTGCTTCGTTGCTGGTCCACTTGAGCCCCGACCCATCGGACCAGTTTGTGACTCGGACTGGTCTGGTCGAACTGGGTCGTAGCCGGTCCACGTAACCGACTGGGGTAGTTGGAAGGTCTTGGCCTAACGAACAAAACGAGGTTAACAGTTATCTCTCAGTCTATCATAACTCTCTCCCTATCTATCTTATATCTCCCGCTTTCCCTCTCGCTGTCTCTCTCTCACCATCCCTTTGTGTCTCTCTCTGCCTTCCTCCTGTTGCGCCTCTTCGTCTCTCTCTTCTCTCTCGCTCCTACCCTGGTTGTCTCTCTCCCTCTCTCTCTCTCTTTTCTCTCGCTCCCGCCTTGGTTGTCTCTCCCTCTCACTATCTCTCTCTCACCTCGTGTTGCGTCTCTTCATCTCTCTCATCTCCATCTGTGTTTTCATGGCCTTTCCTCTTTCCCTCTGCTCCATTTTTCTTGCCTTTCTTATGCTGGTACTACTGTTATTGCTTTGCCTGTAGGGTATTATTACGTTGGCGGTGGTGATGGTGGTGGGTTTGGCAAAGTTGTATTGTCTGTGCACATTTTCGGAGGGCACTAGTGTGTCTAGAAGCGCGTCGTTAAACACCCCAGAACACCAGTTTAAACATTTATAATTTTTACCATTTATCAAGCAACTACTAATGTAGTACATGGGTGAGAATAGGTCGTATCCACAGGGAAGCAAGTGAAAAATTAATATATACTAAGATCTGGACAAAAGAATACAATCGGAAATGGCAAAAAATACGAAAATAAAATCTATTATTGCTGAAAGTAAATGTTTTGAATTTAAACAAGACAATAAATATAAATCATAATTTAATAAAGTATAGGAATCAACAAAGGAAATAAAAAGAAATACAAGAAAACAATCTAGAATTCGGATCTGGTGGCGGTAGTTGCAGATCGGCT